TTAACTCAAGACTGGAGGTGCTAGGTACCTATAATCCTAGCTACTCAGGAAGCTGAGATCTGAGGATCATGGTTCAAAGCCAGCCAGGGCAAGAAAGTCCTTGATACTTATTTCCAATGAACTACCACTAACTGAAGTGGAACTGTGGCTCAAAGTGGTAGAGTGCTACCCTTGAGCAAAAAAACTCAGGGACAGTGCCCAGGCCCTAAGTTCAAACCCCACAATGAATACCACCACCACCACCACCGAAAAAAAAAAAAAAGAACTAGGGAAGGACAGGGGACCCTGGGTGGAGGTGGGGTGGTGGGGGCTGGCCCTTTCACAAGGTGCCAGCAGGGACTGGATCGTTCAGAAAAAGTCCCTGTTGTAGGCTACAGGGGACCTGGGGAAACCCATAGGGGTTAGTGTTGGAGACTGGGGGGAGATGTGAAAGTGACCACTTCAGAAGGCGGTGTGGTATCCATGTCAACAGCATCATCATCTATAGCTGGATGCCTGGTTGCAGGAAAGGCTACCCTGAGGCCGAGCGTTAAGCCCAGTGGCATGGAGCCAGTGTTCACATTGTTCCTGCTCAGTGGAACTGGGGGGAGGGAGGAGAGGGAAGGAAAGAGGAGTGGACTCTATGTATCCAGGGCTGGGGAAATTCCTTTGTGTAGGAGAGGTGCAAGTGTCCAGGGGGAGGAAGTTTGGGGACCAGAAACATAGGAGGGGGTAGCAGCTCCTGACACGAGGATGATCTTCATTCTCATCATTTGGAACCTCCAAATTAGAAGCAGGGGTATAGGGAGGAAGAAGGTCTGTTGGGGGGACCAAAGGGCAACTGTGAATTTTAGGCACCAGTCCGTCTTTAGGGTTTGATGAGTGCTGACAGGATGTGGGGACACCCCCTCCCCGGAACATCCCCCCACCCCTCCCACCACATCCTGCTCTTCCACACTAGTGGTGCTGGAAAGAGTTGGAAGAGGGAGGCAGGGGCAGCAAGCCCCATGCCCCTGCTTCAGGTGGGGGAACAGGAGGGGCTGTGTTGGGGCCATCTGTTTCTGTCTCTGTGCTATCCTGAGAGCCTTCTGTCGTACAGATTTTACTGTTAGTGAACTGAACATTCTCATGTCCAAAACCTTCTGGACATCCATGCAAGAAAGCAAGCTCACTATGACCCCACGGGGATTGGCATTGGCAAGGGAAGCACAGATGGACAATGATGTTTTCCTTTTGGGAGGCTCTACAAGCAGGGATGGCTAGCGGACTAGATGTGGGCTTTTTACCCTCTACCCCCTTCCCTGACCCCTGGGAGTCTGGGCAGCTGGGCAGCTGGTTTTCACCCAGCCTGTCCATGGTGGAGCTTTGCAAGTTGGGGACATCATGGCCATGCGATGTGGTGTCCACAGGAGACACAAGCACCTCTTCATCCTTTTCAACACTGGGATGAATTCCATGCTGGGGCCTAGGAGTGAAATCTCTCTTCATGCTCACTGAACTGCATGGTGCTGTTTCTCTATTGCTAGGTTGACTCCCCTCCTTGGCCTGTAATTTTGGTCTCTCCCTTGGGATCTTCTCGGCCTTTGGCCTCTGTGTCCCTTGGGTGAGGAAGGCAAACATCACATGACCGGTCCTCAGCTCCACAACCTGAGCTAGCTGCTTAGGTACTGACACGAGAAGTGAGGACCTTCGCTTCCATGGAGGGACCCTCATGCTTCTGGAGGTTTCCAGTGTCCCCCCAGCTGCCAGTTGTTGGCAGCACAGACACAGGGTTTTCAGCAATCCTCTGGCGATGCCAAAAGGATATTCCCCAGCGTGGAGTCTGTGATCTCTGGCAGAGGGCACCGCCTCCTAGGGGTCCTGTGGTGACTCACTGGAGGCCTTTGCCTGGGATCCAGGGTGGCCAGGCCAGGAGCAGACCAGCTTGCAGGCCCAAATCCTGCGCCATAAACCCTCCTGGGTAAAGTTACCCAGCTAGGTCCATAAAATTTCTTTGTCTTCCAGTCCTGGGGCTTGAACTCAGTGCCTGGACACTGTCCTTGAGCTTCTCTTGCTCAAGGCTAGAGTTCCACTTCCGGTTTTCTGGTGGTTCCTTGGAGATCAGAGTCTCACAGACTTTCCTGCCTGGGCTGGCTTTGAACCCTGATCCTCAGACCTCAGCCTCCTGAGTAGCTAGGATGACAGGCGTGGGCACCGACGACGCCCGGCTCCCAGGAAAATATTTACTGAGACTATTTCCCCACGACCAGCAAAAGTCCAGGAGAAGCGGCGACGCCCGCCGGGCCCTGCTGCTCTCTCCGTCATCTCCCGTAGCCGAGGACGCTGGGCCCTTTGTGACGTCACCTGCACGCGCCCTTTATGACGGACGTTACCAGACATGCGCCATGGATGAGGCGCGCATGCGCGCTGCGGGGCCCTGGCAGGTTCGAGTCCAAACACGGGGACCAGTAGGCCCATGGCGGCCTACGTAGACCTCTCCAGCGGCCCAGGGTGGCCTTGTGCTGGGTGCACCTCCTCCAAGGACGTCCTGATGGCACCTGATCCTCTGTGCCTTCTGCTTCTGAGCGGAGGACCGACTGGCTGCCACCAAGCCCAGCACCCCTTCCTGCCAGGCAAGCTCTGGTGACTTTCTTTCCAGCCAGGCTGTGGGCCCAGGCCGAGTGGGTCCTGCTCCACACCCATCTGGCCCAGATTCACCATCTTCACTTCTGTCGTCCATCCACGGCCCTCATCCCCAGCTCTTATCTACACTGTCTAGAAGAGTCACCACCTACGTTGCTAAAGGCCTACCCTGGGCTCCAGGCCCTTCAAAAGGGATGGAGGGCCAACTGTCAGTGCAGCTTCATCCTCCATCTCTCTCGGACTTGACCCTTGCATGCTAAATGTATATTTTCTTTCGTTGGAAGAATCCAACTATGGAAAGGTTATGTAAAAATCTACTTGGGTGTTTGCTGAAGAAATCCAGTAGCCTATTATTCCAAATAAATATGGAGCCAAGGGCTGGAATGTGGCTTAGTGGTAGAGTGCTTGCTTACATGCATGATTCCTCATAAATAGAAAAAGCCAGCAGTGGCGCTGTGGCTCAAGTGGTAGAGTGCTAGCCTTGAACAAAAGACAGCACCCAGCATCTGAGTTCAAGCTCAGGACTGGAAGGAAAAAAAAAAAAGAAAAAAGGAAAATGGAGTCAGTTTTGTGGTCTTCATGGAATGTGTCTACAAATCAAATACCTCATTGTTTTGCTAGCAAAGAGTGGAACAATGTAGTGGATTAAAGTAAGATTTATGGAATTTGGAGATCTTCAGCTCACCAGTTGGGTCCACTCTTCACTGAATGTTAGTGTCACTTTATTTTATTTAGATTGGCTTATGCCCAAGAGCCCTTTTCTTGGGGGGGGGGAGCGGTGAGGATGAGGGGAATGCATAGGAGAATTCTAGGAGCTGTAAATTCCAGCAGGATAAGGAAGGTTGACAAACATACATGGCATTCTCCAGGTTGAATCTTGCTGCTTTTGCTTCTTTCTTTGCAGTGATTTTCTCTTTATAAAGAATTATATATGTCATGTCATGCAGAGGTTTCAAAGCCACATGTGGCAGAAAGCAATAGAAGTATCCACGTATCCATGTTTGTGTACATATACATTTTCCTGAAAATAAAATACATGCATACATACATTGTGTGTATTGCTTTGTTTCCAAGATAAGGTCTTATTAGGCCTAAACCTCACAATCCTCCTGACTCTGTCTCCCAAGTGCTAGGATAACAAGTGTGCATCATTATGCCCTACTTACTGTTTTCAATTTAAAATGACATTTTACATGTTTCATATGTTAAAAAGTAAGTTGGAGATGCCATCGCACTCCAGTTAGATTGGCCATATCAAGAATGCAATCACAAATGCTGTTAGGGGTATCAGGGAAATGGAATCCTATTGCATTGTTGGTGGGAATGTAATCCAGCAGAACCACTCTGGAAGAAGGCTTGGAGGTTCCTCAAAAAAATTAACATAGAAATTCCCTATCACCCACTGTTGGGCATCTACCCAGATCATTACAGGTCAGGATATGGTAAAAACACTTGCACATCCATGTTCATTGCTGCACTATTTATCATCTCCAAGTTATAGAAGCAGCCCAAATGCCCTACAACAACAGATGAGTGGATCAATAAAATGCAGTACCTATACACCTATACCTATACCCATCCTTTAGAAAGAATATGATTATGTCATCTGCAGGGAAATGGACGGATCTAGAATAAATCATGTTAAGTGAGGTTAGCCAAGTTCAGAGATGAATGGTGAATGTTTTCTCTCATATGTGGAAGCTAGATCTAAAATACAACTGGACATGATAACGTATACAGGACTCTAGGCATTCACACACAGTCAAACTAAAGGATACCCTTTGGGGAGAAACACAAAGGGATAACTTTTCAAAACATTTAAAATAGTATTTATTGAAGCCAGGCGCTGGTGGCTCATGCCTATAATCCTAGCCCCTCTCGAGGCTGAGATCTCATAATCGTGGTTCAAAGCCAGCCCTGGCAGGAAAGTTCATGAGACCCATATCTCCAATAAACCACAGAAAACCAGAAGTAGTGCTATGGCTCAAGTGCTAGGCCTTGAGCTGAAGAGCTGAGGGACAGTGCCCAGACCCATGACCAAACCCTCCACCCCCAAAACAAAAAAACTATTTATTGAAACAAACTCCAGGAAATAGAAACATAGCTGTTGTTGTTGATTGTGTTCTTTTTCTTTTTTCTTGGGGGGGGGGTTTCGGGGAGATGCAAAAAGAGGGAGGAAGGGTAAAGAAATGTAATCTTGCTACTCAGTGTGTATGTGTGTGTATATATATATATATACATATTTATAATTTTTTAAGACAGCATGGCTCTTTTCAGTTTATTGCATGAAGAAGTTACACTAGCCCAAGTTAAAAGCAGACCCTAAATGGTTACGTTATACATGCTGTGAGGTTTTGAAACTTGTGACAAGGGACAGAGGAGAAATCCTTACTTGAGCTTCAGTGAGCCACAAGCACTAAAAGCCCATGAACCTTCAGCTGATCCTCCTTAGCCAGTCCAAGCTCTTCCAGGAACTGGTATATGTTCTTGCGCTGGTCACCCTGTAGCTGAATTACTTCTCCATATTCTGGATGCTCAATTACAGTACCACTGCAGGCAAATTTCTTCTTAAACGCCTTCACTAGTTTCTTTTTCTCGAAATCATCAGCGATCCCTTGGACAGTAGTAAGGGTCTTCCTGCCATTTCTCTGTTGAATTCTTCTATGGATATAATCCTCAGTGCCAGCAGGAAGCGGGTCATCACCCTTACTTTTATCAGCAAAGGGGTCGCAAGGGTGGAGGTTCTGGATAGCGGACATATAATAGGATTCCTTTTCCTTGGTGGAAATGGCCTGTGGAAGGTGGCTATGGGAGAAGGTGGGTGGGGAGAGGGGGGGGGACCGAGGGTCGGGAAGCGAGGGGGCTCAAGGGGGAGGCAGCTGAGTTCTAGGCGGTGGCTCAGTGACTGGGGCTATTCAGTATATTCTATGTGGGAAATAACCTATGAACTTGTGGGCAGGGATGGGAGGGGGAAACTGGGGAAAAGGAAGGGACGACATTATCCCAAAAAAGAAATGTACTCATTACCTGACTTATGAAATGGCAACCCCTCTGTACAATACCTTAATAATAACAATAGAATTATTTTTAAAAAATGAAAAGTAAGTTTTACTTTTCACATACGAATCATTTCATACTATGTCAGAGAAAATGTGGACACATCCCTAATAAACTATAAGATAGATACAAAAAGGACACAAAAAGTTTGGTTTAGTTCCAAATTGTTTTTAAAACAGAAACGTATTACAACCCCTTTTTACCTTTCTGAGGACCAAAAAAAAAGAATTATTAAAACCAAATATAATTCTTTTTTCTCGTTGTTGTTGTTGCTCCTCCTCTTATTCCTCTTCTTCTTCTTCTTCTTCTTCTTCTTCTTCTTCTTCTTCTTCTTCTCCTTCTCCTCCTCCTCCTCCTCCTCCTCCTCCTCCTCCTCCTCCTCCTCCTCCTCCTCCTCCTCCTCCTCCTCCTCCTCCTCCTCCTCCTTCTCCTTCTTCTTCTTCTCCTTCTTTTTCTTCTCCTTCTTCTTCTTCTTCTTTTCTTCTTCTTCATTTTTGCATGCATTGACTGTATAAAGGGGTTTCTTTGTAATAATTCTATAGGTACTGTGGAGAATCCTGCAGATGGCCTGGGAATGTGGCTCAGTGGTAGAGTGCTCGCCTAGTATGCGGAAAGCCCTGGGTATAATTCCTCAGAACCTCATAATCAGAAAAAAAACGGAAGTGGCGCTGTGGCTCAGGTGGTAGAGTGCTAGCTTTGAGCAAAAGAAACTCAGGGACAGTGCCCAGGCCCTGAGTTCAAGCCCAAGGATTGGAGAGAGAGAGAAAGAGAGAGAGAGAGGAGGGAGAATCCCATAGGCACACTGCCAGCAGCATCCTCTAAACGAGTTCACCCCTCTCTTATATTCCCTTAGTCCCCTCTGTTCCTCATCTCACTTTATCAAACAGTATTTGGGGGGTTTAATTATGCTACCTACCTTCTATACCTATGTGTACATGGACAACGTACTTAAGTCCTCTTCACCCCCACACTTCCCCTCTCCTGCTGATCCCTACAAGTCTCCTTTTTACAAACTTATCCTCTTATCACCATCATCATCATCATCATCATCATCATCATCATCATCATCATCATCATCACCCACCACCACCACCATCATCATCATCACCAGCGTCATCATCATTTTAGGTATAGTTTTCACATGAGTGAAAATGTGATCTTTGGCTTTTCAGCTTGGCTTATGTCATTCAGGCTGATGATTTCCCAATTCCATCCATTTTCCTGCAAATAACATAATTTTGTTCTTCTCAATGGCTGAATAATAGCGCATGAAATCTATGCCATGCTTTGTAGATCTATTCTTCAGTTGTTGGGCACTTAGGCTGAGTTCTGCTGTAAACATAGATATGGAGTTATTTGTCTTATAAATCAATTTACACTAAAGAGAGAGGTGTTACAGAAATATAGAAGGTGATAAGATAGGTCTCATCTTGGGCTTCTTTAATATTTTTTGGTAATGGGGCTTGAACTCAGGGCCTGGATACTGTTCCTGCGCTTTTCCCCTCAAAGCTAGTGCTCTACCACTAGAGCCACAATGCCACTTCCAGCTTTTTCTGTGATTAATTGGAGATAAGAGTCCCCATGTCCTTTCCTGTCCAGGCTGGCTTTGAACTGTGATCCTCAGATGTCAGCCTCTTGAGTGGCTAGGTTTACAGGCGTGAGCCATCTGCACCCAATTTATTTTATTTTATTTTATTTTTTTGGGGTCCGGTCATGGGGCCTGAACTCTGGGCCTGGGTGCTGTCCCTCAGCTCTTCAGCTCAAGGCTAGTGCTCTACCACTTGAGTCACAGCACCACTTCTGGCTTTCTTTTTCTTTTTGCTTATGTGGTGCTGAGGAATCGAACCCAGGGCCTCAGGCTTGCAAGGCAAGTGCTCTACCACTGGGCCACCTTCCCAGCCCCTTATTTTAGTTTTTTGAGGAAACTTTACACTTGTTTCCCAAGTGGTTGCTCAGGTTCACATCCCTACCAACAATGTCTGTGAGTTCAATTCCCCTGCATTCTCACTGGTATTTCTTGTTTATTCTCCTGATAATTACCGTGACTGAGGTGAGAATCGCACTATAGTTTTGATTTGTATTTCCTTATGTCTATGTTAAATAACCAATGGTATTTCTTCTGAGAACTATTGGTTCAATTCATCTGCTCATTTAATAATTGGATAATTTATTCCTTTGGAGTGTTTACTTGAGCTTATTTAATTAAATTAATATTAATTATGTTTTTTTGCTGGACCCAGGGCTTAAACTCGGGTTGGGCACTGTCCCTGAGCCTTTTGTGCTCAAAGTTAGCACTCTACCACTTGAGCCACAGTGCCACTTCTGGCTTTTTCTGAGTAATTTATTGGAAATAGGAGTCTCACAGACTTTTCTGCCTGGGCTGGCTTCAAGCTCTGATCCTTAGATCTCAGCCTCTTAATTAGGATTACAGTATTCTGAATATTAATAGTGTGTGTGGTGAGTAGCAGGCAAATTATTTTCTTACATTCTATGGGTTGTTTTCTCATTGTGTTAATTATTTCCTCTGATATGCAGATGCTTTTGGTCTTGGGTCCTGGGTCCTGAAGTCAGGGCCAGGGCTCAGTCCCTGAGCTTTTGTTGCTTAAAGCTAGAGTTGTGCTACTTGAGGCACAACTCCACTTCTGGCTTTTTGATGTTTAATTGGGGATAAGAGCCTCACAGACTTTCTTGGGCTGGCTTTGAACAGTGAACCTCAGAGCTCAGCTTCCTGAGTAGCTGGAATTGCAGGCATGTGCCATCAGTGCCCAGCATGGAGATGCTTTTTAATTTGATGCAGCCTCATTTTTCAATTCTTGCTTTTTATTTCTATATTATATTCCCATTGAGAAAATAATTGCTTATGCTTAGATCTTCTAGTTTATTCCAATATTTCTTTTTCCTGAAGTGGTTTTAAAGTTTCAGTTCTTATGTGAATAACTCTGCTATATATATATTTTATTTTTATTTTTTTTTATTTTTTTTTTGTCGGTCGTGGGGCTTGAACTCTGGGCCTGGGTGCTGTCCCTCAGCTCTTCAGCTCAAGGCGAGCACTCTACCACTTGAGCTACAGCACCACTTCCGGTTTTCTGGTGGTTTATTGGAGATAGGAGTCTTACGGTCTCTCCTGCCCGGGCTGGCTTTGAACCGCGGTCCTCAGATTTCAGCCTCCTGAGTAGCTAGGATTACAGGCGTGAGCCACCAGCGCCTGGCTTCTGCTATATTTTGCACTTTTTTTTTTTTTTTTTTGTACAGGATGAGATCTAGGGATCCAGTTTCAGTTTTCTGGAAGTAGATAAGTAATTTTCGTAGTGCCATTTTTTGAAGAGGATATCTTTTCCCCTAATATATGTTTTTGGCTCCTTTGTTAAAAATAAAATGGCAGAGCCAGGTGCTGGTGGCTTATTCCTGTAATCCTAGCTGGTGCTATTGCTCAAGTGGTAAAGCACTAGCCTTGAGCACAAAGAGGCTCAAGGACAGTGCCCAGGCCTTGAGTTCAAGCCCAGGGATACACACACACACACACACACACACACACACACACACACACACACATGTCATCATCAAGAACACAAACAACAGGCTGTCAAAGATGTGTGGACAAAGCAACTCTAACACACTTTTGGTAGGGACGTAAGCCAGCGCAAGCACTGTGGAAGTAATTATGGAGGGTCCTTAAAAAAATCTCTAAAGAGAACAACCCTATGATTCAAATCAGAGCACAAAAATTGAACTGGGAGCTGGGAATGTGGCTTAGTGGTAGAGTGCTTGCCTAGCATGCATGAAGCCCTGGGTTCAATTCCTCAGTACCACATACACAGAAAAAGCCATAAGTGGCACTGTGGTTCAAGTGATAGAGTACTAGCCTTAAGCAAAAGAAGCTCAGGGACAGTGCTCAGGCCCTGGGTTCAAGCTCCAGGACTGGCAAAATAAAAAAAGGAAAGAAAAGAAAGAACCTGTATACCCATGTTAATTGCAGCACAATTCATCCTATCCAAATAATGACAGCAACCCACATTGCTGTACAACTATAAATTACATATTATATACACATAGAAGCCAAACTCAAAAGTAATAGAGGAGAAAAATAATAATTAGTACAGAAATTAATGAAATGGCTACTAAAAAGTTACAAAATGTCAGTTTTTTGAAACTATAAATGAGATGGAGGAACCCCTAGTCAAATTGAGCAAAAGAGGTAGGGAAAAGACTCAATTAATAAAGTAGAGAGGAATTAGGAAATGTCAGAGTCACATAATATCCAGAGTAGCATTTGGAAATATTTTGAAAACATCTGTACTAATGAACTGGAAAACATGGCAGAAATGGATACATTTCTAAATACATTGACTTATCACAGTTGAAATAAGAGGATACAAACCACTTAAATAGATCATTAGCAAGCAATGAGATTGGGCTGTAATTAAGAGTCGCCAACAAAAAAGGGTTCAGGGCTGGCTATATTCACTGCTGGCTATATTCACTGCCAAACTTTATCAAACCTTTAGAGACGGACACCAGCACTCCTCAAATACTTCTTTTTTTGGGGGGGGGTGGGGGGGTCCAATTGTGGGGCCTGAACTCTGGGCCTGGGCGCTGTCCCTCAGCTCTTCAGCTCAAGGCTAGTGCTCTACCTCTTGAGCCACAGCGCCACTTCTGGCTTTTTTCTTTTTGCTCATGTGGTGCTGAGGAATCGAACCCAGGG